GGCACCATATACAGGCCTTCATTTCATTCCTCTTCCCCAAGTATCCTCTGCAGGCAAAGGTCAGGGATAGACAGTATATTAGATAGATCCTTTTCTAAGCATGTATTTTTATGTTCCTATTACGTATTCTTCCCCAAGAGATAAGGGATCAAGAAAGTTGATTGACAGGAACCACCTATTTAGGCTGCCATTATTCTAAAACCTGGAGCTTCCCAGCAATCCCAGAATTATTAACATGGCTCTAATCTCTTGTAACCATTAATGCTAATTTTTTAAGAGGGATGTTGGATGCCACACTTACGCTTGCTACAAAAAAAAAAAATAGCAGGGGGGCCGAGAAGACTAGAAGAGAAAGCAAGTCACAGATAAAAGAAAAAAGTTATTTTCCTTGGACATGGAAGTTACTTTTTCACTGTTTTTTCTTTTTCTAAATGCAGTAGGACAGTCTGGATGGAAATCACATAAAGAATTCTCCAGCTATATCACAGTGTAGCCTGTGGATCCTGATCTCCCTTCCTCCTTCCCGATATGCAGAAAACATAACAAGAAAATTCAGTAGATGAATAGTTGGACACAATACAAGTGACTCCAGCTGGAGGCTGCAACCACGCTACCTGCTCTTCCAAAACTTTGTTCCTTTTGAAGGCCTCTTAAAGTAAGGCATGTTTCTTTTACATGTACCTGACATGTTTTGGGAACATTTATCTTTCAAGAAGATCAAAAGGGCATTTCTAATATCAGCCATTTGTCCTGTGGTATTAGCAGTTCACAGATTTGTTTCCATGTTTAAATGACAGCTCTGGTTCTACAGTTGCCACACTTTGGATCATATTGAATATCTCAACCTACAATATTGTTACTGTAAAAGTCTGTTGAAAGATTTAAATGAACAAAACTGAGGAAGAAAAAAACCACAGCTGCAACAGTTCTTACAGTTTGTCTGCTTTCATCTACTTGTATTGTATTCCCTGTTCTTCTCTAAGCACATCACTGTTGTATTGAAGCTTCTCCTCCAGATTAATTAGCAAAGAAATGAGCATGCTTTATCCATTCTTATTCCCTCCCTATCCTTGGGGTATATGCAGACATTGGTCAGCTTGCTCTTGAAAATTATACACTTTGTGATGTTATTTATGAAGGTCAGATTAATTAAGTATTGCTTTATGTATAACTGCAGTTTGGAGTGGTGTTATGATGTTTACGTTAGCGTTCGATTTTCAGTTCCACAGTCATTGAGAAAACAGTTCTGTTGTAAACAATCCCCTTGTGCCAAGAATGCATGTGCCAGGTGAATGAGGTCATGAGTGATGAATACAAACCAGGTAAGTCGGGAGGGCAAACATTAGTCTCCCTTGGGATTCTTTAAAATAATCAAAAAGTCTGCTGGGGAATTCTTTGCTAAATTGTATGCAGTATGTAAGGTCTTCAGGTTGGCATACACTTCTCACAAAGAAATATATGACACTTTAAAATGCAGAGAACAAAAGAAATGCAAGCATTATCAGAGTTGCACTGTCAATCCCAAGGTTGTTAAGGTGACCTCTTAGCCAAAAGAAAAAAGGAGTATGGATTTCTCCATGAAATCTACTATAAGGGAACTCCACCTTAGTGTAGAAGGGCTTTTAGTGTTCACATAGTGAACATAACTGTGACTGAACAGGACCATATCATGAATTCAAGGATTCTCAAGGTCCCCTACCAATGTGTTTAACCTTCATCTTACTAGGAGTTAAGTGTAGATGATTTTTTGCACTCATGTCCTCACTTCACCTCAATCTTGAGAGTTATATTGTGAAAGACATTTATCTCTGTCTGCTTTGCTTTATCTCTATACTGCTTTGAAAGTCTCAACATCTTCTGTGGTGGAAGTCTATAAATAGTCTATAGTTATTATCTGATTAACCTCCTCTTTCTTGTCATTTGATATTGTTGGAAAGACAACACATATAGACTGTCCTGTACGTAAAAGAGGAAATGAACACGTTTGGTTGCTGCTTGTTCCTGTGCACATCTTAACTTCTGCTAATAACATAATTAATATACTTTTCTTAGATGAATCGCTAATCAACTTCCATTGTTATCACTGTAGCAGCTAGCATTTGATTATGCACAATTTCTTCCTCTTACTTCCTTGTACCTCCACCTCTGTAGCGTTGGACTCAAAATGCCACCAAAGACATAGTTCAGTTCAATTCAATTTCAAGACTAATCCTTGGTTTTCTCATCCTTTTACTGCATCAAATTTAGGTTCTTTGTTCTCACCCTGAAAACTGCATAATCCCTGCCCACAACTCTGTTTCCATTTCCACCTACTCACTACTTCTAATCTCCTCTCCAATATTATTTTCACGCCCTTCTGCACACCCTCTTGCCTGGGGGATTTTGGTTTTTCTTTCCCTTTTTTTTTTTTGGTAAACTGTTTTATACAAGTCAATGACTGCATATTAACTAGTGAGAAAAAGTAATTTGAATGAGTTTTTCAGTTACAAATAATTATCTCTTAAATTAAAAAAATACCAAATGCAGGCATTTGTACTAAATAAATATCTAAATGTCTAGGTCAAATATATGGAATTATTTTATTCAGACTGCCCTGGAAGGGTTTTTTGTTTGTTTTAGTATTTGTCCTAATATTACGCCTTAAAGATGAAACCCATGTTTTTATCTTCTTTTAATGTGAATGACATGAAAAACTTGTAGTTTCACCCAGCACGGAACACCACACTGAAAAAAAATTTTGAATTTAGAAGAAGAGAGCAGCATGACCTTCAACTGCAGCCAGCAGAACCTGGTGGAGCTTGACTGCGCTGCAAACCAAGTCTCACAGAATCTGCATCTGTTTTTACTGGAGGCAGTGATGTAAAATAGGCTTTAAAACATGCCATGATAAGGTCTGTTAATTATATTTCATAAAACTTTTATGCTTTCTACCTCACTGACACACGATGTTTTCCCATACAAGGGAGAGCTCTGTGCTCTCATCCCTTTACAATAGCACATTGCAGGAAGGTTCTGACACATCTCCACCTTTTTTGTCACGTCAGTTGGTAACCTCGGGTAATGTATTAAAAAAATTGTGTACAAACGGGTGCCTAATATTTCATATGTTTTTGTAAGCGCATGAGAAAGGCAAGATAAGAGATAGATATTGCCATATTTTGGCATACTTTGACAGGCTGAGAATCACAGAGGTTGTTAGGGTTGGAAGGGACCCCTGGAGATCATTCAGTTCAACACCCCTGCCGGGGCAGGGTCATCTAGAGCAGGTGACGCAGGAACGTGTCCAGGTGTAGTTCGAATGTCTCCAGAAAGGGAGACTCCACAACCTTCCTGGGCAGCCTGTTCCAGTGCTCTGCCACTCTCAAGGTAAAGAAGTTCTTCCTCATACTAAGGTGGAACTTCTTGTATTTTAGTTTATGGCCATTGCTCCCTGTCCTGTCATTGGGCACCACTGAAAAGAGTCCAGCACCATCCTCTTGGCACCTGTCTTTGAGATATTTATAGGTATTGATGAGGTGCCCTCTCAGCCTTCTCTTCTCCAGACTGAACAGGCTCAGCTCCTCACAAGAGAGATTCTCCAGTCCCTCAGTCATCTTGTGGCACTCTGCTGGACCCTGAGAAAGTGAAACTGAGAAAGTTGTGGCTGTTCAGCCTGGAAAAGAGAAGGTTGCATGGAGACCTCCTAGCAGACTTCCAGAATCTGAAGGGGGCCTACAGGGAAGATGGAGAGGGATTCTTTGCCAGGAAGTTAGAGACAGAACAGGGAGTAACAGGTACCAATTGAAATAGGGGAAATTTAGGTTACATATACAGAACAAATTCTTTACTCTGAGGGTGCTGAGGCGCTGGTCACAGGTTGCTCAGAGGAGCTGTGGATGCCTCATTCCTGGAAGCGTTCAAGGCCAGGTCGGACGCAGCTTTCAGCGACCTGGTCCAGTGGAAGGTGTCCCTTGCGTCGGCACGCTCTTTGGAACTAGATGATCTTTAAGGCCCCTTCCAACCCAAAACATTCTGCATGATCAACCAACATCACCTTCTCTTCCCCCTTCCCCTCCCGAACCCGGCTGTTCCCACCCCAGGGACGGGGCTCCCAGGGCTAACCCCGAGCTCCCCCGCCTCCGCGGCGAGGCGGCGGGCACCGCCCATCCCTGGGCGGGCGGCAGCGGCGAGCCCACGGGCAGGGGACCGCCCTCCAGCAGCCCTGCCGCTACGAGCCGTCGGTACCGCCCAAAAGGCCGGGCTGTTCCCCGCTCCCCTCCCGAGGTGCCGCTCCGGCAGGGACCCCGCGGGGAGGGGGTTGGGGAAGTGGGGGGTGGCAGGGCAGCGCCGCCGCTCCGCCCGCAGGGGGCGCCCGGCCGGCCCTTACGGGAAGGGCGCCGCTCCCGCTCCCGCCGCCCTTTGCCTCCGACCGTGACCCCGCAAACAGCCCGGGGCTCCAATCTGCGGGCCCGGCCCTGCCCCTCCGCCAATCCGCGCGCTCCCGCCCCGCCCGCGCCCGCCAATCCGCGCCCGCCG